GGGTAACAGGAGACATACAGGGAAGGCACGTGGGCAGGGCAGGGCCAGGCAGGCTTCGAGAGGAGCCCCAGGCTCCAGCAGATACACTGAGGCCCTCGCTGAGATCTCACCTTCTCTGTGCATCGTTTTCTCTCTGCATCCCCTTTATTTATTTTTACATTTTTACTTATTTATCATGGTGGGGGTACATGAGCCACAGTGTGCTGGTGGAAGTCACAGGACAGTTTGTGGGCACTGGTTCTCTCCTTCCACCACAGGGGTTGTGGGAAATGAACTCGGGTCCTCAGGCTTGGCAGCAGGGGCCACTGAGCAATCTCCCTGGGTTTCCCTTCTATACTGTCCTGTCTTCTTCAGCCATGCCTGTTCCTTAGTCTTTCTTCCCTCTTTTTTTCCTCTCCAGGATCTACCCTGCTCTGTGGACAACTCTTAATCGATTTTTATCTTCCTGCTTCCATGAGAGGTGAGACTTCCCTGCCGTGATGGCAAGAATTCCTGTCTGTATTGTTCACTGCTGACCTCTGACCTCAGAACTGTAAGCTGACACACAGTAGGGCTCTGCCAATATTGGCCGTTCCTGAGCACATCAAAGGACAGCTGCCAGGGTTTGTTAATCACACCTTTATCAGGAGCCAAAGCTACCTTGCCTTTGAAGCTGGTTTACTGATTAGTCTTTCTCTCCCTTCTTGCTAGAATGAAGCTCCACCATAATAGGCTGTCTGTGGGCTCTGTGCTTGAAGCAGATCGTGGCATACAACATAGATTCACTGTGCTCTAGGTAAGTGAATCATCTCCCCATCCCTCTTCCCTTGTGTGGACCAGATGGCTTTTCCTGCCTTCTCCCCACAAATCCTCAAGACGACTCTGGGAGACAGGTACTGCTCTCCTCATTTTAAAGGAGAGAGAACACACAGAGAAAGGCCTGCTGTGGGCGGGGCCAGTAATGAATCCCAGACCTCTCGATTTGAGCTTTGTGAGCTCCTCAGTGAGGCTTGGAGATGCCTGGCACTCTAAGGCTGGCCCCCACGCCCGTCCTTGAGCCTCACTTCTCGTAACCTTCCTCTTGGCGAGACCCCTCCATAGATCAGGGCAGTGACCATGCTTTAGTTCCGCAGGCTGCAGGGGTAGTTCTTGGACACCTCCAAGCTGCTTTTTATACTGCAGCTAGGGTGATGTTTTCAGATACTACATTTGATCCTCTTACTGTTACAAATCTCTAATGGCTTTTTACTGAAGCCGGTGCTTTGAAGTTAACTGGTACTTAGAAGAACAATGCTGGGGTGGGAAGGGGAGAAGTGGCTCAGTAAGTAAGGTGCTAGACAGGAAGATCCAGAGACTAGCTGAGTGAAATGGTGATGATGGTGGTGGTGGTGATGATGGTGGTGATAATCACAAGGGGAGGTTGAGGCAGACATCCAACATGGCCCTCTGGCTTCCACATGGGCACAAACACACATCTGCACACTTGTAAAACGATGGCAGTATCATCTTGATTGTGATACTGACCTGACTGACATTTCAGAAAAACGTTTCCGTCGGAGCTGATCAGAACCTAGGGGGCTGTCCCAACAGATGCTCCTGGCCCTGCCCCCACTCTGCCAGTGGGGACTCTCTAGGAATGGGGTCAGAGGATGTTCATTTTAACTCCACAAGCACTGCTGGCAGCCAGTGATTTAACACTTTTCATCTCTAGGGCACTTGGCAAATGTCTACAGGTCAGGCAGTACTATTTAAGCCATCAGCATCAAGACAAAGACTGGACCAGCCCTGTTTAACCACATGATTCGCAAATTAAACCTACCTAACTCACGGTACAGGTTCCAAAAGTGCATGGAGCCTGGCTAAGTCATGCCACGCCACATGAAGTGTGTGGTCAACGGGTTTACTTGGAGATACACTCATCCCGAGGGTTATCCCATTTCTAAAAGACGAAACAAAAAACAAACAAACCCTATCCTGCCACAGTCATGCGATGATTTGAGAGAGGAAAAAAAAAATCAATAAATAAAAGACACAGACAGAGACACAGCCCATGCCTTGCCCCCTGCACAGTGAGCTCTGAGCCTTCTGGTCAAGTCTTCTGCATTGTAAAAGATCTGTTATCAGAGACAAGCTTTGCCAGAGGACACTCAGAGGCTCTCCAGCCAGCATCCCAAATTGCTCATATTTTACCAGGGTTCGAATGCTGATCTGAGTTTCTCTTTGGACAAGGGGGTGCCATGTGACCCAGCATTAGCTCCCATCTCTCACAATTACGGGCAGAGACAAATATTTTACCAGTTAGTCATCTCTGAAGCCAGTTACTCCAAGTGGGAGGGCCCCGTGGCACAGAGAAACAACAGCATGAAGCTGGAGTGCTCAACCTTTATCCTTAGGATGCATGATATACACAGAAAATATATATCACAAATTTGATTTTATAAAGATTGTGATTATATATATGTAAAGACTCGAACTAATTTTTCCTTTTTACAACATATAAATAACCCAGAAAAATATTTTCTTCCAAAAATAAATAGAAAAACAAGCAAAAATAAAAACACCTGATAACAAAGGTCAAATGGTTTTAGAAACTACTTTGAAAAATGCAACTTAAATCTAGTGCTAAGGCAAGTATGGAATCTGAGTCATGTCATGAGGGTTAATATATATATATATATATATATATATATATATATATTTGCAATTTCAGAAATGTCTTTAAAAGTCCTGATATTTAGCTGAGATTACGTCCAAGGGCTTCTCTACGAGGGAAAATAAATATTCCATCTACACAACAATAACAGAGGATATTAATGTTTTAGAAATAGTAACTATATATTGCAATATCCAGAAGAGCTGTCGGGAGAAAACAAAATACTTGTAGTAAGAAACTACCAGAGAAGCAAGGTTTTCAGGATCTTTCACGGGTATTCTTCATACAAATCACCACCACGGGGGGCTTCCTAAGCTAAGCCATAATTGGGCCTCTCATTATGAGAGATGAACAAAATAGTGACTGCCCAGTGGTACGATGACCCATGAAAGGGAAAGGAGGCGAGATTGTTGAGGCTAATTTGATGCACAGCCTCACAAGAGCTAACCACATACAGACACAGCGTGTGGAGGGTTCGGAACTTTTCCCGTTTGTCCAGCCTCTAGCTCGCTAGCTAGAAGGAATGGCATTGAAGGGGTGGTGGTTGCTATTCAGTTCCAAGAGAGATTCATAACTTCCTTGCATGTTCTTAGGCCTTCGACTCTACGACATGCCAAACTGCCGGCTGTTAGGCCACCCGCCCAGACCAGACGACACACTACAGACCCCCAGCCACTACCGTGCCAGGTTCTTAAACACGTTAACTGAATCTGCCAAAACACAGGACAAAGACAACAGGATGAGGAGACAATTTAAAAATCCCCCTTGGTCAGACAACTCCCGAGGCTGCAAGACACACTCGGATGCCAATAAAACGCGAAGAGAATGGGTACCGATACTGATATGAAAACTCTGTTTTTAACTCAGTGTTTATTTGACAAATACCAAGCGCCTTTTCTCTCCTTCCTCTCTGGTCCTGCTCTCTGGGAAAACCACATCAGTATCAAATGCCACTTGGTTTTTACTCAAACAGGAGACAGCAGACTGGGCGGCTGCACGGTGACTTGGCTGACCTGCGCCTTCAGTAAAAACAAACCACTATAAATCACCAGATGTAAGCAATTGGAGAGTGATCACGTTAATTAATTGACCAGCTCTCCTGAAATTTACTATGTAACTTCAACCCTTCCAACACCTTTACCAGAAAAAAAAAAAACGGAACAAGGACGGCTTTTAATCAAGCGGTTTAGAGGACACGTTTTAACTTTAGAGACAAGTAAAATTTTAATTACTTAAGGTCAAGATGGGGAAATTGCTTGATTTTAGAAATTACACGCGGAACATAGGAGATGCTACTTTTAAATGCTGCAAAGACAAGGTGGTTCCCAAAGCTGACCTCAGTAATGAATATAATAAACATGTAATCTGTTCTGAAAATACAGAAAATTCAACACAATTTTAGTTGTATGTGAAAACTTGGCAAACATTTTCAGTTGGGGTTTCTAATCTTGATTCCCACACCGGGAGCTATACTTATAAGGTGATGCAAAATGATTCATGGATTAAGAGCAGATTCTGCTCTTGAGAGGACCCTAGTTCAGTTCCCAGCTGCCACATCCAACAGCTGATAACAGATCCAAGAGATCTGGCGCCCTCTTTTGGACTCCAAGGGTACCTGCACTCACTCACATGCACACAAATCCACATACACACACAACTCAAAATAAAGACGATACCACCATGGCATACTACCAATTTCCACTATCCTCACAGGAAGTCTGGGGCATTATCTACAAACATTATGTAATACAACATCCAGTTCCCATGACAACTACTGGGCAACACCAAATTTAAATTCTAATCTACAAAAGGTAACCAAAATTCAAGGCAGCTTCTTTTGAATCCTGGAAGTCAGGTTAGCAAAGTGTGTTTTTGTAAAGATGCTTGAGAGGGTCGTAGGTCAATGGGTTGCCTAGCAACCAAAAAGCTCTGGGTTACACTCACCCCACCTCCCCTCCACCCCAGCACCAAAACAAACAAACAAACAAATAAATCCTTGCAATTTAGAAGTGGAAACAAGTTAGTATAAATAGGCCTTCCTTATTATGCCCTCAAAAGGGTAATTAGTCTGCTTATAAGAGCTACATGTTAGTCCATAGAAATCAGTGGTTCTCAACCTTCCCGAAGCTACAATCCTTTAATACAGAGTTCCTCATGTTGTGTTAACCTCAACCATGAAATTATTTGATTGCTAATTCACAATTGTAATTTTGCTACTGTTATGAATCATAATGCAAACATCTGATATGCAGGAGATCTGATATACAACACCCAGAGGGGTTGTGACCGAACGGCTGAGAACCACTGATACAGGTAGTACCCGCTGCTCTTACAAACATCCACGGAGACGATGCTGACGGTCACTTACAAGGAGAGCTGTCTAATATTTGCTGAGACAGGTCCCAGGCTTGGAATGGTCTCCAATTCATTGTTATTCAGCTTCCTAAGAATGCCAAAAGGACAGAAAAGGCTAATTAGGCCGTATGAAATCCAAAGATGGGGAAACACTATGCATTACTTAAAGGCATTGCCCGAGCTAAAAGTTAAAAGTTCGAAGGAAGGTCTTATCATCCAAAGAAAGGTTCATCCCCTGAAATGGTCTGGGGTGGAGGGAAGAAGGGGGACATTTTATGCAGCCCTCTTATAGGAAGTAACAGGGACTCACACTTCTCGGAGGTTTTGAAGGTGGCTCAGGGAACTTGTCTGGAGAGAAGATAATCTGTTGTGACTCAGGTCCCTGTAAGAAAACAAAAGTAATATTACCACCTTTTTTTTTTTTTTTTTTACAAGCAATTTCTTAAAAAGTTACTAGTATCACTTAACAACCTACTAGCAGAGCGGGGTTTTGAATTCTCTCTCTTTCTCTCTCCTTCTCTCTATTCCTCTCTCTCTCTCCCTCACACTCTCTATCTCTCTCTCTCTCTCTCTCTCTCTCCCTCTCTCTCTCTATTCCTCTCTCTCTCTCTCCCTCACACTCTCTATTCCTCTCTCTCTCTCCCTCCCTCTCTCTCTCTCCCTCTCTTTCTATTCCTCTCTCTCTCTCCCTCACACTCTCTATTTCTCTCTCTCTCTCTCTCTCCATACCAGTGTCAAGAAGAGAAATAATTGGACCACTATGTCCACGAATTAAATGGCAGCCAAATGCCAAGCTCAGAACGACAAACTCTGAGGACAAATTTCGTTTAAGAGGCTGGCGGATTCAAATACTTGAAGCCCACAAGCATTTTAAGAGCTGTTTTTTGGCACATGGTGAACAGACCTTTCATGAACCTTAGCTTGCTACTATCTCCCCACCCTCGACTTGATACATGACATCATAGACTATGAAAAGTTGCTAATTAGGCAGGTTACTGAAACAAGGACTCTGAAGAAACATTTTAACTATCAAAATATTAAGTACCATGTCCTTAACGCAGCCAAAGGAACAGAGGTTGACACCCATGGGGAGTTAGCTATGTTAGTTGTTTCTCTGAGTTAAGGGACTAGATTACTAGTACAGGGTATGTTCACGTGTGTGTAAGTGCACACGCCCTGAATGTACATGCTCAAAAAGATACATTTAAGAACTCTTTGAATTTCAATATCGGATCCCATAGTACACAATTTAAACCACCACAACCATCTAATAACGCAGGGCAGGTGGTACTGCGTTTTAGTCACTGAAAGAAACATGCTTCTCCTTCAAAGGCCCAGGCAAATTTAGAAACAATTCCCATAGGCAATCAAAATACCGAAAGTACCTAACGCCTAACCCATACAGTGCTCTGGGTTAGGAAGTTTACCCAGCATCAAGATTCAGGGCGGCGGGAGTAACAAAATCCAACAAATGTTTCAACATCCCATCTACATTCCTCCAAAGCAGCACAATGAAGATGAAATGGGGGAAACAATCACTGGTAATGAGGTTCATGTGCAATGCGGTTGGAAGCTCCCCTCTGGAAGAGACTAGCCTGATCCGAAGTTAATTCCTTGGCGTTTAAAATGAAGGCGTTTAAATAACCAGAGTTTTAGATAACTAAAGTTAGCTGCTGACAAGCATGAACCACGCTACCTACCTCAGACTGTCCTCCCACAGACAACAGAAACACAGAAATCACACACTCAGAGAAAGGGTGTCGCTGCTTGCTTAGGCGACAACTCGAAATCAAGGACCCTGTCATTTTCCACGCTTTTCGTTTTGAGAGCGAGCCCTGATTTTTGTGTTTCGCCTTAAACCAAAATGAAAAGGAACTTGCAAGGACTTTATTCAAGCTCTGTTTGCCTAGAGACCTACCCGACAGAAAGAGACATGAGTAGATTGGTTCTGGAGGAGTTATAACATGAAGGGGGTGGGGGGAGGAATCTGGCTCCCTTTTAAACTATAAAAATCCTGCAATTACAGCCACTGCTGTGCATGCTCACCACGCTGGCTGCAGCCAGACACTTTCCCCTCACAGCCCAGCCAGCCCAAGTCCATCTGGAGTTCATCAAGGAAGCCATGAGCCCAACAACTCACGTTGGCGGCCAAACAAAACCTGTGTGCCTTTAGCACCCCCAGACAGTCACAGACTGCCCACATGGTTTAAAACAGGACCAAGAAAAGAGTCTCCCACCTGGGACGTGAGCCTAGCTCCACAGACAGTCATTTGGACCTACTTAACTCAAGAATGCTGAGCCTGCCCCCACCCCACCATTGTTTCCTGTGTTTGAAGGCATGGGGGGGAGGGGGGCAATCTGGTATTTACATTTCAGACAGTTGGTTTTCTTTTCAATTAAAAGAAAAGAAAAGCTCATTGTAAGGATTATTTCACAGGGAATCCTGGGAGGAATGAGATTTGAGCGCTGAAGCTTTTCCTCCAGTAATAGGGTGAGGTCCCAGCCCCCAACAAAAGATCTTCAAACCGGGGAACCAGCCTGCAGCCCAGTGCACTTTCTGGGGACGCTGGCAGCAGGAGCTGGCAGTCATACGTTATTGCAAACGCTTCCATCCTGAGCTCTGCATACGATTAAAACTACATTAAATGTGGAAGAAGAAAAGAAATTCTTAAGTGACTTTTATTGCTAAATACTTAAAGCCATGGAACTTTTAACTTACCTAGATTTAGATTTTAAAGTAATATACATTTCAGAAGTAATTGTTCTCTCTTTCCTACATGCCATATTTCCTACATCTTCCCTATATTATTTTTATGGATGGAACACTGAGAGACTCCGGACATAAAATGTCAGTGTTTTCTTGAACCCAGGACAGAACCCATTCAATAGCAGGGCAGATTCATTGTTGTGTGAAGCTCCATGAAAGAACATTGTCCCTGGCGAACTTGACTTTTTACGAGATTTGCTGTGATGAGGCCAAGGTATGGGTGGTGAGGCATTAACTGTTTACCCAGAAAGCCACTGGGCAAAGCCTTGGGAAAGTCCAACCCTGTGTATGGCAGCCGCTCTTCGTCTCAGCAAGTGAGCAAGCATATGTGAAAATTATTAATTTTACGACATTCGGTTCCAGCTATCGTATTGCTTTTGGAAATCTGTCTTCCAACTCAAATTTGAAAATGCAAAGACAGAGGAGCTGGAGCTTCTTAACCCCACAGAGGCCTGCCCAAGCTGCTAACTCAGCAGAAACATGGAGAGCCGAAAAACCCAAAGGCAGGCTGTAGCTGTTTTAAAACACTGGTCCAAAGCGACTCATAAATCAGCCTGCTATGCTCGAGGTTTGGTCTGGAAAATATAGAAGAACAGCTGTGGGAACCTTAAGGACTAGGACTCCCTCCCCACCCCCAGCTGGAGTCAGTTCCAGAAGATTCGAAACAGGCCAACACCAAAGAAGTCAGGCCAGCACAAGCTACCTTTCGGACTTTCGCCTCAGCCCTGTTATGAGCTCAAACATTTCCACGTGATAAGACACATCATCTGAAATTCCAGCTAGAATCTAATAACACTTGAGGTTCCAGTTGGCAATCAAACAATTTTCCCCCTTTGGCTAACTAATGCGTTTTAACAAGCCCTCCTCTTTGGGTTCAGAGCTCTGGAAGCTCAAAGATTTTTGAGCGAGGCTCCAAGCAGTTACGTTTTTTAAGAGCCACTTTGATTAAAGAACTGCAGGTTTGTTCTAAAAGCTGGAGTGAGTACAGTGTTATTATTGTTTAGCTCGAACTCTTCAGCCCTTCCACACACACAAGGCTCTCCTGTGTCAATAAATGACAACTGAATAAAGTGAGAAACACATGCGCACACGCACACACACACACACACACACACACACACAGCACAGATGTTCATAAGCTGCAAACTCAACAAAGGAAACAAAGAGCAGGCAGCATACTTTCCTGAACTTTCTCATAAACTATCCCAAAGACAAACTTCTGCTCTTTGAATTTCCCGAGGAAAAAGGAGAGCTGTGCTAACAATACACATTCTCTCCTCGCGCCCTGGTCTTGGAAGCCTTCTCCTCAAGAGCTTTTGTAATTAAGTACGGTTTAACTAGCAGCAGCTTCCACCGCCTATTGCAATACACCAAATAACAGGGGGGTAGAACTCAATTGCATGTTGCTTTCTGAGCTTCTTTGAGGCGAAGAACAGACCTCTAGGGCTGTGAACACAAACAAAAGAAACACTGGCAATAAAGAACTTAAGACCACATGGTTTGGTGACACCTACAAAGATGGTCAGAAGTCACCCAAGTACAAGAACGGGAAGGCCGGTAGATGAGCGATCACAGCAGGGCCCCCGACAAGAAACTAAGTGCTTATTTATACAAGTGGAATGTATTTTCACGGACATTTAAGGAATGTGGACTTGTATTGAGACAATTTACTACTGGCGGAAATGTAAATGTAATTAAAGACTGTGCTAACCAAATAAACTGTAATTTGTTTTTAGTGTGCCACCAAATCATCTGCAAAACAAAATCCTAATTAGGTCAGCTCCCTTTAAGAACGTTTATATAGGTATTGAATCCCCCTTTGCGATTCAACTCAACTTCCAATCCAGGTCCGCACGGTTTTCTGAAACGCATCTAAGTTGTAAAGCACAATACCGTGTACTGGCAGCATTGAATGGGCCACCTGTCATTGAGAAACTACCGGATAAAGTGAGACTTAGTAAGCGTGTCGATAGGCAGTCCAGGGGAGCCCCGTTGTAGCTTTCTCTCTTATTCCTCTGCTATCCATAGGTGTTTACCCGCAGGCACTCATGTGTTCAATTCCATATGTCGTCAATGGGGCCTTTCTGCTCGCAGGAACGCAGCAGCGCGACCTCCCCCCACCCCACCCCCAAGAGGCAATTGAATGGAATTAGCCACAACTAATTGAAAGTCTTCCTGCTTTAGGCTCAAGCCTTTATCTCCCCTTTCACGAGTAATAAAAGCTGCTACATCAGACATTCCATAATCAGCCATTAAATATCAATCCAATTCTCGTTAATTCTATTTCCTTATTAAACTGCTTTTTAAACCAGGCATTTTGTTTGATGGTCAACAGTTTATAACCGATGAAAGGATTTAGGCTGGCATGCTGCTTCAAAAACACGATTTCTTAAGCTGCCAGACCAAAGCTGCTGCCACTATTGTCAAGACCTACTACGATTGTTAAAGTGCTGAGAATTTCCACCAGGCCTACATTTAAGAATCTTAAGAATGAAGTGCAATTTGATTTTTTTTTAAAGCAGGTCAACTATTTTAACTATTTTTTAATATAACATACAACTTATTTATTTATTTATTTTGCTTATGGCTTACACACCCCCCTCCAATTTAAGAAAATTAGAGGTTAAGAGAGAAAAAAGAGTTGACATTTGTTAAGAACTCGCATTTTCAAGTAAATAATATTTTCTTCCGTGTTCTTCCAAACAGTTGGCAGTGCCCTCTCAGAGCTTAAAATTCGCCAAACAGCACTCAGAGCCGGCCCTCAACCTTCCTAGATCTGCTGCAGAAGGTGTCGGTTCTGAAAACCTACTTCCCTTTGGTCATCGACAGGTCAGAATTCGCACCCAACTTCTCACCGGAACCAACACACTTCACAAAGTGGCCCGGGAGGAAGGCCGATGGTCTGCCAGTGTGAAATTACACACAGGAGAGGGAAGAAAGAGGGAAGAGAGTGCACCAAGGAGAGCTTGAGGCGCGGAGTTCTACGAGAAAGGCGCATACGTATGGAGCAACTGGGGACAGGCAGGGACTCTAAACCACTGAGAAGCTAAGGTTGGGCCGGTTTCCCACATAATCAACTCAGAAGAAAACATGTAAAATCCGGGGGTCTCGCAGACTGGCTCCTGCGGTCGCGGGCGTTCGGTACACTCGCCCTGGAGTGGCAAGCCAAGCACCCACCTGCGCGGACGCAAAGGGAGACTTAAGTTCCCCACAGGGTTCCACTTGCGGCCTGGGCGCACACAGTGCACACTGCACCCTGATATCCAGGCCTTGATAGACTCCACTCGCCCCGCACCCTTCGGCCGGACCGTCCCCTCCAACCCCCGGTTAAGATACTGATACTCACAGCCGTACGACCCAGGCAGGGAGAGGATCAGGAAGGCGAACCAGCCGGCGGCGACTGCAGTCTAGCAGGTCCCCGAGGCAGTGGCAGACGGCTGGGCACGGACGCCCAGCAGCATCTTCCGAGGGCCGCCCCGGCTCTCCTTGGCCTCCGCTCCCCGCAGGGCCCGCGCGTCCCAGCCCGGCGCAAAGCAGCAGTCCCAGCGCCGCCGCGGCCGCTCGGAGCCTGGGAGCACCCATCGCCGCGCACCCCGCCGCCTCCGGTCGGCCAGGAGCCCCGTAGCCTCGTGCCAACTCCTACCCCCACTCTCCGACGAACACCGACTCCCTGACCGGGCTGGACACCCCGATCGCCGCCTCGTGCTCCTCGCAGCTCAGGGTCGGCACCCAAGGCCTCGCATGCCCGCGCGCAGCGGGAGAGCCAGCAGCGAAGGACGGCCAGTCGCGGTGCGAACAGCCCGAGCGGCGACCAAGAGCTCAACCGTCTGCAGAGAAACTTTTCCGCCTGCGGCGGGCGGCGGGGCGCGAAGTCCCGGCGCTGCTGAGCAGGGAGGCGGGCCGCGGAGGCGGGCGGGCGCTCGCCCATTGGCCCGCCTGGAGCCCGCGGCCACGTGACAATAACAAGGCTCCAACCCCCGGGGCCTGCGTCCAGGAGAAAGTAGAGCTGAGATTGTAGGAAATTCCGAGTTACATTTTCCAGCGTCTGCAGCCAGAAGTCTCCGCTATGTCCTGGGAACCATAGATCAGATGGAATGGAAGGGCAAAAACGAGCCAGCGGAGGACTGAGCCCGCTGCTGCTCAGAGGTGGAGTTAACTTGAAGAAACTTTAGGGAGTACAGTCAAAGTAGTTTTGGTGTGAGGGAGCTTTTTAGTTCCAAGCGGATCAAACAGAGGCTTTGATGAAAAAACAGTTTTAGTATTGATGTCAGTGGAATCTTTTTATGCCCCCAAATCGGATACATACATACATACATACATACACACACACACACACACACACACACACACACCCGGCAGCCCAGTCCTGGAAGACAGAGGCAGAAGGATTTGTGAGTTCCAGGCCAGCCAGGACAACATAGTGAGACCCCATTTCAAATATATATATGTATGTGTGTGTGTGTGTGTGTGTGTGTGTGTATGTATGCATGTATACACAGACAGACAAGACACAATATGATTTTGAACCTGGTAGTTTGGTTAACAGTGGATGGGACTGGGTGGAAATGACCCTTTAATAATCTCGAGTTGGCAATCAGGTTTCCACCAATAGCTAAGAGCAGTAATCTACACTAAGACCTTGAAAGAAAAAAAAATACTCATACCTTGGTCAACCTGGCTTTTGGGTGATGACATATCTTGACTGAAAAGGCTATCAGAATTAAACATACTTGCCATCTGTGGAGTATATTGAGGGAGGAGATAGGATCAAACTACAAGACTTCTTAGTGAAGTTTGTCTAGGCACTCCTACAGGGAACCTGGGCAGCAAGGTGTTGAAGTGATGGAGACCACAGAGATGCTCTGCTATCCCCTCGTTGGGGACAGTGGCAGGTCCTAAAGAGATACCTCATAGGTTGTGGGGTGACTGAAACTAATTTTAAGGCTCAGTTTCTGTAAGCTGAGTGTTGCATGGTCTCTGCCCACGCATGTCTGTGGCTGACACTGCTTCACATGCTAGTTGATGTGGAAAGGAATCGCTGGTGGGATTGAGACTTTAACCCCATGCCCATTGACGTTCACTGTAGCCGATCACCTCTGTGAGCATTGCCATACTTGGGGACATGGAAGACTGGAGTTGGCACACTCTATTTTAAGTAAATGTCCCCTCCCCTTCTTTCTACCTGCCTGTAACTGTGTCACATCTTAGAATGATGGACAAGCAATAGTTAAAATTATAGGGTCTCTGCTTAGAATTGTGTTCACTGCAGTTGGGCTATGGATTTTTCCTGGCTAGTGTTGCTTGAGTAACTTACATAAGAAAAACCAGGTTTGCTACACCGAAATTTCTCAAACCAAGTGAGATCCCAGTACACACATGCCCGTTATGTGATGGGAGTGCCTTGGCTTGCTCCTGCGATATCAGGGACAATCAGAAGTCGGTCACCATTTTGGCAATGGGGCTCGCTTTTCCTGTGTACCCTCAATTTCACTTTCTTCATGAATTAAACTTGCACTTCTGTGCTTTTATTGATATCTCACCCTGGTTGCCGGTCCAGAACTTCCTCCTAAATAACACACACACACACACACACACACACACACACACACGCACGCACGCTCGCGCACGCGCACACTTTTACCAGCCACCTACGGGTCACCTCACATTGGGTATTCAGATGTGACATGTCTAGAGTCACGTTTCAGCATCTCTGAATGTCACTCATTTTCTCCCTGGGTCCACTGTCTCCAACAAAGGTGCTTCCCTCCATCCGGGTCCTAAATAGCCACCCTTCATCCTCAGCACCACCTCCATAGCCAAGCAGCACGTTCTGAAGCCAACCAGGAAATACCTTGTCTCCATCACGCAAACTCTGGCCCCACGGGCTCTGGCTTAGATCAGGAACCACACCTCCTTCCTATCTGGCACTCCCATTCTTTCCTCACAATGCAAAGACATCTCAAATCAGGGCCTACGCCTACGATTCCATGGCCCGATTGCTTTCTTGGGTTCCAATGTCTTCAAAGTAAAGTTTGAAATTCTTCGAGTGACCTATACAGTTTCTCTTTGTGTTTGGTCTCTGATGGCCTCTTTAGCTGACTATCATCCTCCGACCCACCAACTCTCCCCGTTCACTGCAAAGCTCTTTCGACCTGACACTTCATCATTGTCCAGATCACTCAGTTCCTCCTCAGCCTGTCCTTTTGCACATCTACTTGGGCGTCTGTCCTAAACAGGCTTCCATTAGCTCTGCTGGACTCCCCCACCCCCACCATGTTCTCACTGCATTTACTGGGTTTCTCTTAATCAGCTACCTAGGAATACAATCAAAGCCTTTTTTTCTTTTCTTTTTTTTTTAAATCAGGCTTCTCTCTATCAGCTCCTTGGATTAGTCCCTATCGCCCTCTGTCCTCTCCATAGTACCTACTGGCTGTGGCCTAGGCCTCTGCTGAAGGCCACCAGCTCCTCTCTATTACACTCTTTTGCCTGTGTGCTCCTGACAGTTAGTGGCTAGCTGATCCTCCGTAGGGTCCAGACTGGTTTGAATTTATGATTACACAATTAAATTAAGCTATGAGTTACCCAAATAAATACGAGCAGAACCAGAAGAAACACACTCATGTTTGTGATAATGAATTGGGAGGGTGGGAAATATACTTGAAGGATAACCACTAAAGTAATGTTGTCAAATTAGATTAGAAAAAAAATAAACAATTGTCAAAATGCAAAGGAGGTTCTTAGTTTGTTTTATGCTCCTGTAACAGAACACCTAACACTGGGAAACGTTTAACAAGTCCAAGACTCGGGGTCCTCATCTAGGGAGGGCCTCCCTGTTGTACCATCCCATGGCAGAAGACATGCAGGAGAGGAAGACAGGGAGGGAGAAAGGAAGAGAGGATGATGGAAAGACAGTGTTTATCTTTTTATTGGAAACCTGCTGCGGCCAGAATGGCATTCATCCAGTCATGAAGCCAGAGCCCTCAAAATACCCTCTAAGTCAACAACATTGCATTGGGGTCACATCTGCAGGATGCAAAAGGGACGGACACAGCGGGGCGATGGTGGCACACGCCTTTAATCCCAGCACTCGGGAGGCAGAGGCAGGCGGATCTCTGTGAGTTCAAGACCAGCCTGGTCTACAGAGCTAGTTCCAGGACAGGCTCCAAAGCCACAGAGAAACCCTGTCTTGAAAAACACCAGAAAAAAAAGTGTGTGTGTGGGGGACGGACACGTTCTCCCAATGGGAAAGGAGATTCTGAATCTCTAGGGAAAGTCATCACACAGATTGCTTCACAGGCCTATGTAGGATCTGGCTGTGGTTTAGCGTGGTCGCTGGGACCCAGAAGCAGCAGCAACAGCAGCAGCAGCAGAGAAGAACGCTTTATGGGTATGCACTGAAGGTCACATGACAACTAGGGTGGAAGACACGGCCTGGAAAGGATCTGGGGCGTTGCCTATCTCAGTTCATCCCTTGATCATGCAGTCAGTAGAAAGGGCGGCTCTCCTATCTAGACAGGTAAAGCAAGGCATCTCTTTTTACCGACTCCCCAAGGCCTTCATCAAGTAAAGGCCAGAGAGAAGTTTTTTAAGTGGGTAAATATCTATCTAGGGTGACAGGGGAGCCAAAAAAAATGATTTGAGTGTCCCCACAGCTCTCTATGGATCCCTTTGTATTCCGCAGGAAATAAAACTGAAAGTGAAGTCCCTGGGGATAGATGAAGAAAAGCACCGTGCATGTTTGCTGATGTCAATGCTGAGAACGTTTATCCCTAACGTGACACGATTGGGAGGGAACCCTCAAGAACAACTATGTCACAGAAGCTTGGCTCTGCTTTTCTGGGGGTGGTGGTGGTTTGTGCTGCCATGCCAGTGGGAGCGAGTCTGTTACTCTGACAGTCGACTGTGGTGAAGTTGAGTTTGGCCTCCTCTCCCATGCCTTTGCTCTTCCCACTCTGCCTGTACTAGGGGGTGCTACAACAGGAAGTCCCTCCCCAGGTGTGGGTACCTTGAGCTTGGACTTTGCTCCCTCAACAACTGTAAGAAATACATCCTTGTTCTTTATAAGTTATGAAGTCTTGGGGATTCTGTTACAGTGGCGCAAAAGTGAACTAAGAATTCTGGTAATTTCCCCAAATTAAAAACTGAAACTCCTGAGAGAGGCTCAGTGGATTGCCGGTCCGCCCTGGTTAATGTTCCCTCAGGTACACACCAGTTTCTCATTTATAATTTCCTCCTCCCCACCCCCAGAAACCAAAAGTCCTATTTCCCAAAGTGCCTACTACTGCCTATTTTGTGGTCAGTATGTCCCAGACCCAATGGGTTGGGATTTTTGTTGATTTGATTGTTTTTTCTTTTGCCTCTGAGAAGCATGTGACTTGGTTACACACTAAGGCAGGCGCTCTTTCTCTCTCCCTCTCTCTCCCGCAGAACAAGTGAGAGACTTTCTTATCTTGAGTGCTGGCAAGGCCAATGACTCAGAGATAAGAAGTAATCGAGGTGCTAGATTGTCAGTTTTAGCATCCAAGGACAGGCATGGAGCTGGGCTACACAGCCTTCATCTTATCGGCACAATGAATGACACGGTTTGTGGACCTGTTAACTGTGAAAAGGGGGAAAGATAAAAGTAAAAGTCCCCACTAGTGTCGCCAGGAGGAAGGGCCCCTGTGCTCAGTAACCCCACCAGGCTCCCCTCACGCCTGCACTCAGGCACACACAAAATGCAGTTTCAAATACAAAGTACCCTCTTCCTCTCCAAAGATCAGCGGTTAGAAAGGGGGAGCTGGCTACCCACCTGTTTCTCTCAAGTCGGCAGACTGTGTGGTGTTTGAATTAAAAGTAAATGTTGTTATCTGAACA